CGAGGATTGGGCAATAGTATTTACTAGAGATGTGAGTGATTAAAAGCGAGACTTGCGAGCTTGGCGCTGATCCGGGTAGTTGCGTGCTGAATGTGCAGCCGAAGAGAGAGAAGATGCTTTCCCGACTATCCACGAGCAACACAGCTTCCATTCCTGCTGTAGCAAGCCGTCCGGATGAAGACTCGGAAGATGAGGATCAAAGCACTCGCTTCGGCCCAGACCGCGGACGAGGAGGTCGGGTCCTACGCGGGGCAAGCGGCGGAGGAAGGGGAAGGGGAGGCTCGGGCCCGCGAGGTGGATCAGAAGGCGGTGGAGGCAAGTCGAGCAGAGGCAGAGGTACGGGACATAGCGGCACGGACCGAGGAGCGAAGAGAAAGGAGAGGCAAGGAAACGTGGCGAGGACTAGAGGGCATGATAGGAAGATGAACCAGGCGGGAGGCGGAGGTGGATTCGCGTGACCTTCTGCACGAGTGTCAGGGACTGCGCATGCGTGTGCGTGGGTTGCAGCATCGAACACAGCAAGCGGAATAACTGTCACAATCCGTCATTGTAGTGGCTGTGCTTCTTGTGTGCGAGCGTATAGGGATTCTCAGAGTAAGTGTAGCGTACTTGACCATTGATTCCACATGATATCTGCTGTTCCGAGCGTCTGAGAGCTCAGCGCTGGCGTTCTGTGGCCTCAAGACCCACGACCTGGAAGCAAGCCGTAGTGGACTCTAGTCTGACGACTGCTTATAGTTCCAAAGATTTGGATCGGTTATGCATCGAAGCTTGAATGAAGGAGCCGAAAGGAGAAGAAGCCAAGAAGGACCCACCGCCGTCAGCACTATCACGTGTTTGCTCGTAACGACAAGACGCACGACGGCGTTTCAAAAAGTTTCTATACAAAACGCTTTGACTGTGACTGATGAGTGATGACTCGTGACTGACACACGCGCGCGTGCGACCCTTCGACCCGCGTCGCCAAGGAGAGGGGCTATATGCGGTCGTGTGCATGATGGTTGCACCGCCTCGTGAAGCGAGACCAAACACCGCTTTGACGGAGCAGACACGCGCGGAACCGCGGGAGGCGCTGTATGCGCAGAGTTGAGTGAGACATTGTGATTACATTCGTGATTCGTGAAGGATGACTGACGTTCTCGTATTGATGCGGTGTAGCAGCCAGAAGTCATCATGCTGTGGATGTTGCTTGTGACTTCACCACAACGATGAACATACATGCGCATGTAGATGTATAATATACTGTTGTGTATCAGCGACCTGCTTGCTGCGCCTTCTATAAAGCTGTGCGACCTGGGGCGCGTCAAGCTCGCTCGGGTGCACGGTTGGCCAACATTTCTTGAACCCGCGCAGTCGTTGCATAGCAAACACCAACACTCGTGACTCGTGACTCGTGACTCTCCACGCACCACACTCCATCAACACCGCGCCACCCCTAAAAAATCAAGCCGATTTATCTCAGTATCCCGGGCCCATGCGCTCTGTTGAGGCTTTTGCAGCGGACAAGAACACGCTGTCTCGGCTGTGATGTCGGCAGCCACAATGAGCGCCCCAAGTGCTCCTCGCATGGACTTTTGTCGAAGATGCGGCGATCCAGTCTCGAGCGTGTCAGCGGGCAACGCTTCGAGGCACGAGCTGTCTCGTTGTCGCAAGTGCGGAGGTACGGCGACTCAAGCCAAAGTGAGGGAATCCGAACCTGCAGAGGGGAGCAAGAGCCGAAAGGACCCTTGGGAGAGGAGGTGAGTGTCGCATGCCAATGACCTTGCTAGCGGCGGGCCGTCGACGGGGCCCGCGCGACCAACATTCAACTCACACGTCTCACGCACGCAGCTACGTGTCGGGCTCGTTGAAGCTGGCAAACTCGGATGAACAGTTCAGCCTCGCTTTCCCATCATCCACCCCAGCGTCAGCCCTTGCGCGGGCGCCAGTGTCGCGCAACGCACCTTTGGCTCTCGGTGTGCCTTCTTCCATCTCTAGAGACTTGCGAACTCCACCACCACCACAAAGGCCTCGACTGTCAAGCGATGCAGCCATGCCGACCATACAAGCTCCCGATGGCCAGCTTTCCAAAGTGGTGGGAACGCTGCTCGCACCCGAGGAGCAGCGCAAGACGTGGAAGTGCGCAGGCTGCGAAGCTCCATTTGTTAGAGATGCTACGCTATTTGCTGCTCCTACGGCCGCCACTTTGACCAGCACATCACCAGGTGCGACGACGCCTCGCTCTGCCAATGCAGCATCTTCGGGCACGAGCACACCATCCCAATTCTTCTGTCAAGCGTGCTACTCGCAGCGCTTCTCTCTAGGCGTGTGTCTTGGATGCAAGAAAGCCGTTCTGGGGTTGGTGAAAGAGGAAGGCAGATTTGTCCGCGCTGGAGATGATGTGTGGCACGGCAAGTGCTGGGTTTGTCGGGATTGCGGTACAAAGGACAGGGTGATCCGAGGTATGGATGCCATGCCCGTCTGCGAGGAATGCTTCGATCAGCCAAAGACACGTCGCGCTCCTGCAGTCAGCATTGGAGCCACCACGGGAGCTGCGCACAGCTTGCCTGTACTGACCACCCGCCGGCATTCACAAGATCTTCGAAACCTCTCTGGGGCACCGGCAGCTCGCACAGCTATGGGTGCCAGCATTGCAGCACTCTCTGCTCGCTTCTCCGGAACTTCGATTGCGCCAGCCGCTGCCAAGGTTCCGCCTTCCCCTCAGCTGCCTCCAGTACGCTCGGGTAGCGCTTCTCCTGCGAAGATGGGTCCGCCACCTACCTGGGGCAACACGGCTGCATATGGCAACAATGCGCCCTACTCAAGATCGAGAACCATGTCGGCTCTCGCTGGAGCTTCTAGCAGCGGCCTGGATAAGGAGCAGTCAGGTCAGACCCCCTCTTCAACGGCGATGCCCACGTCTGCGAGCTTGGCGAGTCTGCGCAGCGACTCTGGCTCTCTGAGTCGCACCAACTCCATCGCGCGCTCGCTTTCTCGCACCAATTCGCTGTCGAGACCAGGATCTCCCACAAAGCCTCGACCCTTGACGGCGCAGTTCACTGGTGAAAAGTTTGACTTGGCAGCTTTCAGGAGCAGTCAGGCAGGCGCACAGGGCTCCAGTGGCCTGACCAGACAGGACAGCAGGAACGGCAAGATGGATCGCAATGATGGAGCAAGGTCGCCAGGAAATGAGCCGCCAACTACGCAGGTGCCCAGGACTCGCAGCGGCTTTCCTCTGCCGGCCGGGAGTAGCAAGCGCGAAGACCTCAAGGGAGAGCCTGCTGCGAAGCCAGGCAGCGCGGGTCAAGAGGAAGTCACATGTGCAGCTTGTGGTCGTCCCCCCTTTTTCGAAGAAGCGGGTAACAGCCGCATGACTGTGGAGATGGTCACGCTATCCAGCTCGGGATTGACGCTACACGCTCACTGCTTCCGCTGCGCTACCTGCGGCGAGCACATTGACGGGTCTCGCAGCTTTGTCCGACTTGAGAACGACGAAGAGCAAAGCCCTGCATTACAGAAGCACTTGCCTCGCTACGCTCATCCGTCTTGTGCTCCAGTGCCTAAAGTGTATCCCGTCAAAGTAAATCTGAATGGCGCAACTGATTCAGCAGCTCCGACGACGATGGTACATGCCTCGGAACCTCACCACGTCACGCACCAATCAGCGCCTCGACCTAGCTTGGGACCGAATCCGCCACCACCGGCACAGAAATATGGATTTATCAGCAGCGCAAGCAGTCGATCCCGCTCGACTTCTCCCTCGAAGGTTTCGTTCGGCACGGATCTCTGCGCGTCCAACGACTCATCGACTGATGCGAATCTTCAAGGGGAAGGGCGCAGACTCAGCAATACTGGCCTGCACGCCTCGGGCCGACGATTCCAGCCCACCTCGGGAGCTGCACCGCCTACACGCAGTACTTTGGACGTTCAACCGCCGTCGTCACGGGCTCGCGATATGAGGGGCATCTTCAGCGGGGCTGCAAGTAGCCGGGCTCCGGCAAGCACTTCCTTAGCCAAGGATGGCTCGGACGGAGGACCGCAACAGACTTTCCAAGCTGCTGCAAGCACCACCTTTGCGGGAAGAAAGCTTGGTGGTCTTTTGCAATGTGCAGGATGCAGTGTGGGCTTGACTTCGCTCGAGTCCGTGCCAGGACCAAGAGGGACGTCGTGGCATCGAGGATGTTTGCGGTGTGGAGGAATAAGAGAAGGAGCATCGACCGCCAGTAGGCGGAGCAGCTTGCAGATCACCTCTAGAGCCAACCTGTTTGAGTCCTCTACCGGCAAAAGTAGCGCATCGGAAGGGAAAAGGTGCGGAAAGCTGCTCGATTCCGCTGCCAAGGTCAATGCGGAGGGACAGGTCAGATGCTCCGAGTGCTGGAGCGCCAGGGTGTGACCTCTTGGAGTTGACGCTACGATCCAGCTCTGGCTTTCCCCAAGCATCTTGTTCTGCTGTTGCTCGACAGAAGCCGAATGCCATGAATTTGCCTGCTCAATACACGATTGGCTTTGGCTTTGGAGCGTAGACACTGACTATTATTGGGTGTTGAGTGGTAGCAGGCACACTCAATACACGCAAGACTTGATGATCGACCGTTGCGACGCGGTACTCTGCCGCGGCTCAACTGGGTATGCCATCACTATCACGTGCCCATTCAAATTCCTCCCATCAGGTTGGTGGGGGAAATGTTTGCCCTGACGTCAGGCGTGCTTGTGACTTTTGCAACTCTGAGCTTCTGAAGCTGGATCGAACGCTTTGTGAGCAGGGATAGGGGACGCTGAATTCTCATTGCTCATTGCTCTTCCACTCTGTACCACGCGACCGTCAAGAGACTTGGGCTGACAGCTTGGCGCGGTGTAAAAGTACACAGTCGTGAGTATACGCATCGGCTCTCGGCGCGGATTCGTGGGTGGAGCTGCACTCGTGACTGCGATGCATGCATCAGCTGCAAGCTTGCGGGAGGACGAGGCCGGGGTTAGGCTGGTGAGGCGCCCTCCACAAAAGCAGCTGCTACTTGCTTGCTGCAACTTCGGCGCGTGACCCTTTCCCATCGCAGCAGCAGGCAGGCAGGCGCAGGCAAAGAAGTGTGCGTGTACGGTACGTGAGTGATCAGTGCCCGCCGATAGCAGCTGCAGCAGCTGGCGTCAAGCAACCCTCGCTGCTGCTGTCGGCCGGAGGAGCCGCTGACGCGCGTGTACTCACTCACTCGTAGTGTGAATCCGCGAGGCACCCCACGAAGTAAGCGAGCGACGTGCGGCGCCCGCGCGATCGAGGCGTGCGCAGAGCACCGCGTCTTCCACACGTCGTGGCACCGGACACATCTTGCCTTTTCTCCGCATTCACCCCTTCAGGTTGGATAGACACACCTCTAGCTGCACCGTCCGCGCTGGCCAGCATAGCCCAGCAATCGTCTTGCGATTCCGCACTACGGAGTGCGCAAAAGCAAGCATCGCTTGACCTCGACACGCAGAGCACGGGAATAATCTGTGTACGCTGCCGGCTAGCTGCGACCCGTCAAAGTGTGGAATTTAGAGCGCAAAAGGGTATCGGCGCAGACGCCAGCGTGAACAGATCTCCACGATCAAGCCCTATCATCGCCTCTCAACAGGCTTCTATCCAGATCAAAGTCGCGCTTGCAGCACTGTCACGGCAGCTCAGGAAATCAGCACCTCAAGAACGCTCGCCATGGCCAGATCTACGCGAGGCTCGCACCAAGCGAGCTCATCATCAGGGGCTACAAAAGCGAATGGGCCCATCCAAATCACCGCTAGCGGTCTTCCAGCTTCCTCGGAAAAGACGTCCATCATCACTTCCTCTGATCTTCCAGCTTCCCACACCTCCTCGTCGGCCCCTGATGCGAACAAACACAACCTGGGCATGAGCTTGGCTACCAGACAAGCAAATGCAGCAGACGAAAATGTCTTTCTCTTTGTGCCAAACTTGATTGGTGAGTGCTGCTGAGAGATGCTAGTCCTCTTTTTGAAGCGATGTTCGAACTTTCGCTAAACATGCTAATCTGCCTTGCCCTACCAACTCTGCTGACTTGCTCGTTGCTCGCAGGATATGCACGCATCATTCTAGCAGCGCTCAGTCTGATATACATGAAGAGCAATCCAAAGACTTGCACGCTTTTGTACGGCGTCAGCTGCCTCTTGGATGCTGCGGATGGCGTCGCGGCGAGGAGGTTGGGTCAGAGCACCAAGTTTGGTGCTGTGCTCGACATGGTCACAGATCGGTGAGTTCTCGAGTATAGGCATAGGAAGCCAGATTGGCAAAGTAAGAGGAGGCTCTTGAAGCAGGCTCAGGAGCGGGATTGTCGGAGCAGTTCGAGAAAACCCACACAGGAGCAACGCAGCTAACGCGAATCCTCCCATTCGATGCGCGCTAGCTGCACGACATCATGTCTGCTGTGCTTCTTGACGACTGCATATCCACGCTGTGCCATTCTGTTCCAAGCCCTCATCACTCTTGACTTTTCGAGTCACTACATCCACATGTACAGGTGAGTATTTGTTCCGGAGGACCTTCGGGGAGAGACTGCGCAACAGATTCTTCGCGTGGAGGAGGAAGAGAGAGAGAGAGAGAGAGAAAGAGAGCTACCAGAAAGGCGGGCAGGGAAAGGACACTTTTGCGTCGACTGACCGTAGGCAGATGAAAGCAGATGCGCGAGAACGGCTGCCGTGAAGACGGTGCTTGGCCGCCTTGAAGCGCATTGCTACGTTACGAGCGCTTGGTTTCGCGGGTCGATGATTCCACCCGAGATTGCCATCGGCCTGCAAGCTCCTGAAAGTCGAGTTTGACCTACATTGCTCTTCACAACAGCTCCCTCGTCACTGGCTCGACCTCTCACAAGGTCGTCAATGAGGACGTGTCAAAACTACTCAGACACTACTACAGCCAGGTGAGCACCTTTGTCCTCAAGCGAGCTAGCGGACAGACGCCCGGCTCGCATGCTCACACTTCCTTCCTTTCACATCAGCGGTGGTTGTTCTTCTATTGTGCCGGAAACGAGCTCTTCTTCGTGTGCCTCTACCTCCTGGACTTCTATCCCACACCTCTCGGACTCGAGCCTTCATGGTTCCTTGCCCCTCTGCCCTCAAGCCTGCAGCTTCATCTCACAACGCTCGCGGTAGACCAACCCAAAGGAGCAGTAGGCTTGGCTTTTGCTCTGGTCAGGCGAACCACGTGGCCGCAGATCGCTGCGCTTGTGACGCTGCCCATCTGCGCAGCGAAGCAATTGTTCAACGCTTTGCAATTCTGGAAGGCTGCCAAGGTATTGGTGGGCATCGACTTGATCGAGAGGGCAAAGAAGAGAGAGAAGCAAGGAGAATGAGGGCGATGAAGGATTGGAGAGACTGCTTGCATAGCGACCCATTTTTCTTTTTTTGCTCGATTGCTTTTGATGGGTAGCGTGGCGGGAAAATAAACATCGCTCGTCGCGCCATGTCACATTCAACTTTTTGCCCCCTCTTGTCTTTTTTCTTCCTTTTCTCTTTTATGTGTCCTTGGGACCATTCTCAATGTCGTCTCTCTCCGGATCTGTACAGGCGAAGAGGTGCATCACTAGTGCTATGGCTTCACCCTCTTGCCTCCTCTCGATCACCTGGAAGCTTTTTTCTTCCACTTCTTGTAAGGCAGCAAGCACTCTCTGCAATCTCTCCTCGAACCCTATGCGAGCTCCTCTCAGATAACGCTGGAACGCTTCACTTTTGCCAGCAAAGCAACGTGTGGTCACAGCTCACCTCAAGCTTGAGGAGCACAGCATCGTAGGTCATGTTATTGCGGGTCTTGTAAAATTCAAAGGATATCGAAAGCGAGAATCGTTGTGGTAGGGCAGGAAGGCCCACGCAGCTCACCATAACACGAGCACAGCCATCAACCAGTGTGCGCGACGACCTCCGTATAAATCTTTCCGGTTTTGAAGCCATGCCTGAGCTGTTCGGGCAATGCAAACTCTTTCAATTCCCCTTCCTCTCCTCCTTCCACGGGCACGCTGACGTTGATAGCGCTGCACTTCGAAGTCACGATTTCCGAATCGCTCCCTTCGGCAGAGAGGTAAATTTGACCAGAGTCGCAGCTGTCGATCAAGATGGTTGGGGTGCGACCGGTCACTTGCACAGCGAAGGATGGGGACGATGTGATCTCAAGTGCCGACACCAGAGTATCCAGCAAGATTGAAGTCTTTTGACAGGAGACTGTTGATTGGAGATTGTGAAAAGATCAATCTCACGCGTCTGAAACTCCCTTCCGATTTCCCAACTTACCCATGGACACCGCATTGATCTTGCCCCGAATTTGGATGGTAGAGTTCTTGCACCCAAAGATGTTCACTGTCTGATTCAGTTCTGTCGCATCGATGACAACCTCCCTATTGTCCTCGTGGTTTTCCTGGCAATAAACGTGGCAGATCCTGCTCGGTCAGCTGTGATCCATCTTGGTGACGAGCTGTCCGCGCGTAAGCCGAAAGGTAACTCACAACAGACCACTTGTTGCCCTCAAGCTCCGTCCTTGCAGGCTTCTTTTGTCTGAAAGAAGCAGGTTTCGCGCCCGGTTTGGGTGGCGTGGGCTTCGATCCAGAAGCTGGGACAGGGGCTGTTCAAGATGTGGATCAATGTGATGTCAGTACCGCCACCGCCTGCTGCTCGCCAATTTCTCTCTGTCTACTCACCGCTGGCGCGTAGCTCTGGATTTTTGTGCGTCATTTGACTTCTGTCCACCTTCTTCAATCCGCTTGTGATGCCCTCTCCCTGATTAAGCTGACTGAAGACTGCGTCCATACCTCCAGCTGCCACTGGCGCGGACGGCAAGCCAGCGGGAGGAGGGGGCGGAGGAGGAGGCGGGCCGCCAGAAGGCGGTGCAGGAGGTGCGGGAGGAGCAGCTGGAGCAGCTGGAGCGCTAGATGGACTTGCGAAAGCTGCGGCATCCCCTCCCTGCAGCCAAGGGGCTCAGCATTCAGCATTGCGACAAGAATGTCTCCAAAGCGGTGTCGATTATGATGCCGACTCACTCTCGGGTTCCACGCCAACCCAGTGGTGTGATGCTCTTTGACGTACGCAGCCAGAGCGCTCAGCAGCGCAACAAAGCTGCGCGTCCATTCCACATGCGTCCTGTCAGCATCATCCTTGTATTCCTTAATGACCCGATTCGAGTAGAACTCTGCGGATTCCTTCGTCGAAATGACATAAGGTGCAGGCTTCGGCTCCTGTCGGGTGCAGCAGAGGCCGATCAGTCTGGAAGTCTCGCCATCAGTTTCATGCACCTTGCACTTACTATGGTGACCCAGCCCAGGGCAGGTGCGCCTTCAGCAACTGTAGACAGATGATTGAAGAGAGCCTTGTCACCACGCTTCTGATCCCGCACTTCTGTAGTAGCTATAAGTTCTGTTTGCAAAGGCTTGAGCAGCGCCACAAATCCGGGACCAGGACCTGTGGTGGGAGAGCCACCAGGAGGCTTTCTTGATGCCGAAGCAAGATGAATGAGGTGCTTTTGGGCCTCGAAGCCTGCTGCGAGGCATTTCGCCTGGGCAAAGCACCCGTGAGTGAGCAGCTTTCCTTCTCGCTGGGTGTCTTGCAGCGCTTATGTCCCACAGCACTCCTGCCCACTCACTTGCTCATGCACCGCGCCGCCAAGCTTGGCGCTCAGATCCACATACTTCTTCAGCGCAGGAGCGACAGTCTCGTTGTATGCCTCGATGACTGCAGGTTCCTCAATCGGAGCTGCTGCTGCTGCCGCTGCGGGTGCAGAGGCTGCCACGCCAGAATGACCAGCAGCTGATGGTCCAGCTGACACGGCCGCAGCGACTCCTTGGGCTTGAGCGACTGCAATATCCTCGAGACGAGACGTCGCAGCTTCCAGCCTGGCAATGTGCGAGCTGCAAGTCTCAGCTAGGGCAAGTCGAGCGAGCGAGCGCGGCGCAAGCGCTACTCACCGCTTCAAGAGGGTGCTGAGATTGCCGATGCCTGAAGCCATCTTGAAGTGGGCGTCGCTATGGCTTCCTAGATGGTATGGTGGGGGAGTAGGCGTGACCTCTGACCTGTGAAACGCGACTCACGACTGATGAATGGTGGATGTGCGCATGCACGCTCCCGCTCAGCTGGAAGCACCGTAATTGCTGCAGGGGCAGGTAGCGCTGTCCTGCTTGAATTGCTGGCTGGCCTCTTTGAGCGGAGCGCGCTTCCCTCGAGGCCGCCGTGCACGGGCATTGCCGAGTCTACGCCAAGCTTTCGTACGATAGCGTCACTCGAGAGGAGCCGCGGCTCAACTTCGGTGCGCATGCATGTGTGCGGCGCGGAAGTGCGGCATTCTGTACGTATGTGCGACACGGTAGGCACCTGTAAGCCATCAGCAGCTGCTGCCTGCTGCATCTGCTGCTGCTGCATGCGCGTACTGATGCTGCAGTGGCTGGAGAGTCACGCGAGCGGACAGAGGTGGTCTTTTTAGTTCTTGGAGATCTGAATCTGATCTTGGTCTCGTTGCGGGCTTGCTCACTTTCATTTGTACCCCATCACCATCCGATCGGTATGCATACATCAGGACCGCTGTAAACCAAACGTGCGACGAACCAAATGGCGCTCTGCCTGCGCAGCCTTGCCACCCGTGTAGCGTCACATCCACCACCATCGCACTCCATCCGCTCTGCAGCTCGCCATTCGCAGATCCTCAACGACTGCGCCTCAGCAAGACTCGGCACTCAGGAAAGAGGTCTCAGGAGTATCGCCGACCTCGAGGATCTGACCAAAACCAAGGATACGCAAAGGCAGCTTATCAAGGCTCAGATAGAGGAGCCAGACGTCATCATGAGCACGCCCATTTCTTCTGCGCCCCCCGCAGTGCCAGATCAGCCAGATGCCAGCGCCTCGTCGGGCGCACTTCCCGCTGCTTCCGCGCCTCCTTCGATCATCTTGACGCTCTCGTGTCCTGACAGACAGGGCATTGTCCACAATGTCTCTGGCTGGCTCGCCTCCCGTGGCCTGAACATCCGAGACTCGGCGCAGTATGGAGATCCCGTCACTTCGACCTTCTTCATGCGAGTTCACGCAGAGGCTTTCAAGGGAGCCAACAAGGGAGCAGGTCTCACAGTGGACAGACTGAAGGAAGAATTCCAAAGGGACATGGCAAGCGAGCTGGGAATGCAATTCGAAGTTCGTGAGGATACCTACAAACCCAGGACCCTCATCATGGTGTCCAAGATCGGACACTGTCTCAACGATCTCCTCTTCAGGGTCTCGTCAGGAACGCTGCCTATCGCGGTGCCATTGATCATTTCCAACCACAACGACTATGCTCCTCTTGCCAAGGCTCACAACATCCCATTTTACCATTTGCCTATTAGCGTGAAGGAGGGCAAGACCAAGGAGATGCAAGAAGCAGAGATCCTGCGTTTGGCAGAGGAATACAAGATCGATCTGGTCGTCCTGGCAAGGTATATGCAGGTAAGTATAGCTGCACGGATTCAAGCTGCGTAGAGACATGAACTGAGATTAGAGCCTGCAATGCACGCGTCTCCATCTTCGCAGATCCTTTCGCCTAAGTTGTGCGACATCATGTCCGGTCGAATCATTAACATCCACCACAGTGTCAGTTCGGCTCCTCCTCGCTGATTGACGCTCAAGTCCTGCTCTGACACTCCTTTCAACTCTTCCCGAGGGGTCTCAGTTCCTACCGGCTTTTGTTGGCGCTAAGCCCTATCACCAGGCCCATGCACGCGGCGTCAAACTGGTGCGTATCAAGCATGCACGCAACTTGGCGATGGCCACAGCGATCAAGCTTCTCGCCTTTTACCTGAAGGCTGTGCTCTTCGCTCACGCCTTCCGTCATTTCTTTAGATTGGCGCAACTTCTCATGTCGTGACACGAGACTTGGACGAAGGACCGATTATCGAGCAAGACGTCGAACGGGTCACTCATGCCGATAGTCCGGCGGACCTGGTTCGCATCGGGGCAGACATCGAAGCCCGCGTCCTAGCCAGGGCTGTCAGGTGGTTCGCCGAACATCGCGTCTTGCTCAACGGCAACAAGACTGTCGTCCTGTAGCCTGGATTGCGACGCCAAAATGCGATCATGCCGTGCCTGGTCCAGGTCTTTTTGATATCGCAGCGCCTTACTGTGCTTCCTGAGTCGCAACACTCCAGCCTGCCTGCCCGGTTCAGGCGCTCGCGGTACGCCGGGCAAGGTAGGTGACGGATTCTTCGATGAACACGCAGCATCGGGGACCACGATCGCTTGCATCCACGTCATCCGGCGCAATGTGGCGTCGCACCCCGATGTACCGCCGCTTCACAGCCATGAGGCAACGTCCGAAGGGCGTCGGCCTCGCTTCCCGCCGTGACCGCGAAGGGTCGAACCAAATGAGGCCTCTGTCGCAGGATTAATTGCCGGCGATCTAGTGGTCAGGACACCACAATCCTGGCCTTGAGTGCAGGGTTAATTGATTGCCGGCGATCTAGTGGTCAGGACACCGCAATCCTTGCCTTGAGGCCAACCCTTGGCAGCTAGCGTCAGAGACTCACAACGCTGTCAATGTTGCCTCCAGGCCAGCCAAGACGCCCTATCATCAGTGTACCACGGCCCGCCTTCGCTTGCCGGCGTCCAAATCGACCGGCTCGACATCTTGGCGTTCGGCGTCACCCGCGGCGTATTGAAGGTCAGGTGGCACTGGACTTGCGAAGTACTCGGAGGCGCTTTGGCCTTCCACCCACGTCTTCATTGACTCAAATCGTCGCCTTGATTGAGCGTGCTGGAGCCAGAGGGCGAGATGTTCAAGAGGAGTCTAATCGAGCACAGCAAATCCAAGTGTATAAGCTCAGCCTTTCTCGCAGACAATTCTCGCTGGACTGTACTTCGTCCCGGAGGCGCATTCAGGGGCTTGACTGCGCCCATTTATCGTTGTCTCGGTACCAAGGGTCGATACACATCACGCGCGTGCCATTTGATCTCGGACTTGCACTAGTGTGGCGCCAGAGGGATGGGAAAATGAGCGAATGGTCCGCGTATAAGAGGCACGGCCCGTTGGTCTTGTAAATTTCGCCTCTCTTTCCAAGTCTCGATCCTCGCAACACCCGATCGTCTGTGACGATCAGTCCCAACAAGTACGCTTGAAGCGTCCATATCCCTCACGTGTCATACCAGTCTGGACTGGCCACTCGTGCCCGAATCGACATTTCCCTGCTTAGCAGAGCTGAGCCCTCCTCCCTTGGAACGATCCCTGTGCCCGGCCCTTTTCAACATCTTCCGCCCAGCTGGCCTGCGCGAGAGTTTAGCGAACCACAAAACTTTAACCAAACCATTCCCTAGTCGTGAGTGAGAGGTTACTCTTGTCGCTCGCAGCATTATTTGAATCCGCTCACGAGCCAGGCACTCTTCTTTATCTTACGCTGCTGACGCGTCGTCATTGAAGTCCTAAATCTCTCAGCGCACAATGAGGCCTATCACTGTATCTTGGGTGCTAACAGCCCTGATCGTCTCTGCAGCTGCCGCGCCCGTTCCTGCAGTCAGACCTGCCACGGGAAGCGTGGAGCGCCGCATGGAGCATGAGGTGCCAGTTTTCGACTTCAAGGATTATACCAGACAGCCTATCCCGCCCCCGGAAGAGAGGTCACAAATCGAAGAGCCAGCCTCGCTCGAAGCTAGGCGTCTTCACATCATCAACCATTTCCCTGGTACTCTAGTCCGTCCCACGACGTACCCAGATGGCACCCCGATTCCCTGGCAGAAGCGATCTGAGCTCCCTGAGAAGGAGCAGCCAGCGCTGGTCGCGCGTTCACCATCACGTGGGTGTCGAAGCTTCCGCAGTGCGAAGTTCAATGAGCACTTATCTGACTCCTACTAATACTTTTGCGCGCACAGTCTCCGCCTCGCAGTCGAGCGTCCAACCTCTCGCAGCCAGAGCTCCAACACCTGCACCAGGTGAGCACAAGGAGTGGAGCCAAAAGGGAGATGAGATTTGTGGCGCTTTAGGACAGCATGGCACCTATGGCCAAAGAAAGGTGACTGCTCTCACTGGCGAGGATGCAAAATACGTCATGGGAGTCGCTCAAAGCGACATTCTGCGGCGAAGTCTCCACAAGAGCGCATGTGGGCATTACGACCGTGGTCAAAAGATGACATTCAAGCCACTCGCCAAAAGGCGTGAAGAGTTGCCATCCAAGGAGTTTGAATATGCGATACACGAATTGGGTCCGATTACCCCCATGGACTACAATCCGTCGAGGAGTAGGAAGATGCACAGTGGTGTTGCAGCTCTGGTCGATGACGAGCCGGTCACGAAGCATAATCACAAGCACAACCAGTACAAATCTGATCCTGCTTACCAGCCGGCCATCGACCCGGACACGAAGCACTATCACAAGCACAGCCAGTACAAATCTGACGCTGGTTACCAGACGGTCAATCTTAAGGAGCTCGAAAGGGTCCCCCTCCCACTCGGTCAACTCACGGGGCTTGGGCCTGAAGTGAAAGGCACTTTCCACGGCTTCAAACGCAGGGCTGTGGGCGAAGGTGAGGCTTGAATGCCTTGCCGTCGACTAGGACGCTACGAGTGTGTACGTGCACCCATGCCCATGCTCACGAACGTGGACTTGTAGCGCGTGGGTGTAGACGGCTTTGTATAGCACATCGTTGGATGATAATGATCATTGCTCCGGCTCTCACGGCCTTGACGACAAAGCGGCTGACGTAAGCGCTCTTGGCCTGCCTTCTATCCAGACCCCAGCGAGAAGCACCTTCCCCTTGAAAGGAGAGAGATGATCAATTATGATCTCGGTCGTCCCGGTCACGACCGCTTCGGTCAGCCTATGGTTGTATCGAGCGGTGGTGATGTCTTGAAGGAGTATAACAGACTGTATGGCTGCGGCGCAGGCAACATCATCCCCTGCCCGAAAGGTACGAGTGAAAAGAAGAGGGCTAGTGATATGCACCCGAAGACACACACCGAGCCAAAGACGAAACCCATTTCGGATGGCGACAACCCAAGAGAAAGGTGGAAATTCTTTCAAGGGTGGCCGCGATACTTGGACGAACCCTATTTGGATCGCCATCTTCATCTCTTTGGTGGACCGGAGAAGATCAAGGCTGTCGCCGATTCAACGCCCACTTCAGCGCCCACGCACGTCATCAGGAAGCACGAAGAGACAGCTGGCGGCAAAAAGTCGATGGAGTTCCAAGAGTATACACCAACGCAAATGGCACAATTCCAGAAGCAACACTACAGCTCCGCCGATGGTCATCTCGGTCACAGTCTTCCAGCGGTACGCCGTCATGTAGATGGAGAGGAATCGGTAGGACACAAGTTCACGGAAGCGGAGCTGGAGAACTATAAGCAGACCCATCACAACTTCGGAACCTCGAATAAGGTCACTTCCAGATCGCGTGAGTCAATTTGGCCTTCGCATCGGGACCGAGCTTTGATCTCATTGATCTGACGTCTCGACGCACTTTCACCTCAAGCTGAGAAAGTTGAGAAGATTACGCGTCACGGTTGTGCGTACGAGGGCGGCCTAAGCAAGCCTCGCGGTCGATCTGACGTCTGCAACTTTTTATCCTGTACAGCGTACTCGACCACCAACGTGCCCAACAAGAGCGCAGAATGGGAGGCTGAGCATACGCAGAAAGGCAAGGAAGGAGCAACTCTTGTGGGACCAGGTAAGCAACCGTAGGCTGGCACCCGCCCCAATGCCTTCGTCGTTTACTGATCGCCTCCTGTGTCTTTCTTTGCGGGTCGCGTAGGCGGTAAGCATGCGCTCAAGTCCAAGGAGGACGAGGGTCCAGCCTACCTTGGCGGCAGGCCGGGAGTAGGATCTGATGGCACGTTCGACCCGGATCTTTATCGTAAAACGTGCTATCCCGGCTTGAAAGAGGGGATGTACACAACGCAGCAGAACATTTGCAACGGCGCCTTTTGAACTGCTAGTCACAAGCAAACGTTGAGATCCCATCCATCGAGTTGCCATGATCCCGTGGCCTGCGGCGCTTTATGTTCTTGACCTTTCGCACTACTCGCCCCAACCTGTAAAGCCACGCCACGGCTGCCCCCTTGCTCTTTCATCGTTCCGGCACCAACCATGTACTCGACTGTGTAGCCCCCCAAAATTCTCCTTCCTCCGAAATCAACAAGTTCTTCTTGGCATTGCCGAAGAACAACATCCTTCCTTCCTCTTTCCTCATTGCCATTCTTGACTTGGCAGGGCTGATGTCCGAATCGTGATGGGGCGTCTACTCCTGAACAATCAAAGACCGCACATTTCAGGACCGGTGACTCATAATTCGTGCAGACCATCGGGGCATCGCTTTGGTTCTGCAGTCACCCTATGCGAACTCTACTCCACGCGCGCATGCAGCAGCAGAGAGAGCGCCGCAGAGAGAGCGGCCGCAGAGAACCGGATCGCGCACGCATGCCAGACTTGCAGCCTCAAGCACAGACGCACGAGCCATCCATCACTTTTGCCAAATGTCCTCGCTCTCGTCAGCCGCTGGTGCACGGCAGCAGGTGTCGGAAATCTGAATATCTTCGACGCTCCCACTTGAATCTCTTGAACACGAGCACCGAAGACCGTTGTAGTCGATGCGCACGATCTCCACCCACCTTCTCCCGCCCTTCACATTCATTGCAACCCAACGCATGACCAGAGTATGACGCAAGCAGTCGCAGCAGATGCGCTCGTGGTGGGAGCAGGCTGGGCAGGAACCGTAGCAGCACTGCGACTGGCCGAAGGCGGAAAGAGGGTCATCGTGCTAGAGGCTAGACAGAGAGTAGGGGGCAGAGCCTTCACGCACACTTGGACACCCGACACCAAGTTCGAGGACAATTCTAGAAACACTGAACCGTCTGCGCAAGGTGGAAAGCAGTGGGCCGTGGATTTTGGTGAGTCGCCAGTGACCGTTGCATGATTATCGTTGTTACTAGTTACTACACGATGCAATCTGCTTCTGGCTCACGTGTCGGTCTCTGCCTTCCGCTGGTACAGGTTGCTCATGGATACATGGATACAAGGAGGGCAACCCTGTCAAGGCGCTGGCGGAAAGGTACAATATTGTGCGTCATATTGCTCATTTCGCGCCCCGCATTCCCTCCATTCCCTAACAAAGTCATCCGTCGCGTGGCGCTCGTATAGCCCGTGCACATCCCGAAGCCAACCGCCTCACAAATCATAGGGCCTAATGGTGAATGAAGGGGACGAGAGAGAGAGAGAGGTTGCGAGGCAGAACAAGCTCATCCTGATTCTTTTCGCGCGTCTCTATCCCCTTTCAGGTCCGTTGGCGGAAAGCCTGTCAGCAAAAATCACAGAGAATCTCGGTAAAGCCCAAGCAGCGGCAAAGTCTGCGCTTTCTAAGCAAGGGCAGACGACCTCGGCCGACAAGTCGCTAGCTTCTATCGTACTGGCTGCTGACTCACCCTTGTATGCCGGGCTGAACGACTCGGAGAAGGAGCTGGCAGCGAGTCACGCTCGGCTGTTGCACGTGCCTCTCGGCATCACGTTGGAACAAGCAGCGTCGCTCGGATCCGACAAGGCTTTTGGAGGAACGGACGGGGCCCCAGAAGGAGGTTTCACGCGTCTCGTCAAATCCTTGGTCGACGATGCCAGCTCCAAAGGTGCAACATTCAACCTGGGAGAAGTGGTGCAGCAGATTTCGCCGTTGGAGAACGGCAAGGGTGTGAGGGTGAGGACGAGGAATGCGGAGAGCGGCAAGGAAGCACTGTACGAGTCGGCCTCCGCTATCGTCACCATACCACACGCTGTGCTGCAAAAGTCGCTTGGCATCTTCCAACCTAGCTTGCCAGCGGAACGCGTGGCTGCTATCGTGAGTCGGCTCTTCTGGGCAGATTGGCGAGGTATTTGGCAGCTCATGACCATACTTTCGACACAAACAAAGAAACGCACTACGGTGGGCAATCTCAACAAAGTGAGTGTCGGACGCGTTGATCAGTCCCTCGTCTTAGAGCTCATAATCCGCATCGGGCCTGAATGGCTCGCCTCAGGTCCTATTGACCTACACAGAGCCGTGGTGGGATGCACAAATAGGTACCTTTACTGTTCTGGCTACAGAGAAGGGGGAGGTAACACCCGACACTCCTTTGAGGGACGGTGAGCATCTTCTCAGCTACATCTCCGCGTCATGCGGGCTGCTAACGACCTCGACTTGTCTTCCATTTGCGCAGCGCTAGCTCGTACCACCCTCATAGTCTCGTCCTTGTGCGCTCCCACTGGTCTGCCCGGCGATTCGAGTTCTCTCCTCGTCATGGTTGGAGCAGACGCTGCCAAGACCATCGAACGCCATGGTCGACAAGAAGCAGCTCAAATTGTTCACGACTACCTCGTCCCGAAGTTGGCCAGACAAGGCGCCTCTCCTCAGCAGCCCAATCATACATTCTACAGCCGATGGGCTAAGCGTAAGTCGGAGGCAGCAACGACGCACAAGGCCGGCCAAAGTGGGGCTCATGAGCAAAGATACTGATCTAAAACATGTTTACACCTCATCTTCGCTCTCTGCGAGGAGCAGAGGCTTTCACAGGCGGAGCTACGACGACCCCATTTGCGGTTGGAGGAGGAACTCGGCAAGACCTTGCGGAGCTATCTCGCCCTCTCTGGAGCGGTGCATTGCGTTTCGCTGGTGAAGCTACCGAACCGGACCGTGAGTAATGCAGCGTACGACGTGTGAGCTGAGCCATCGAACGCTGACCTTTCGGTTGCGACAGACCGCGGCAGCATTGCAGGAGCAGTAATCTCGGGGGATCGAGAAGCTGCTGCTCTCTTGTCTTCGCGTTTGTGAGATTGTCTTGCAATCAGCCGAGGCCGAGCGCGTACACTTCGATGCTGTGTCCAATGCACCTGGGCTCCAGCCCCAAGGCCGACCGCAATCCGCGAGCCCGCACCTTCAGGTAGACTGCGTGAATCGGTAATTGTGCGCGGCGATTTGTGACTCTCGCACCACGGCAGCTTCCTGCACTCGTTCATTTGCGTGCGGGCTCGTGATGCCGCGCTGGGCTTGTTGGGCGTCCAGCTGGCGCGCGAGTGGTCGGGGTTGCCAGATCATCTGCTGAGTTGTGATCAGCGCCGAAATCAACATCATCCGTGTCTGTAGCTGGCTGCAAGGTCTCGTCGCCTGCCTGCTCCTCGTCGATGTCAGGTGCTACCACTGGTAGATCTGATCCATCACCAATCGGTCTTCTGGGCGTGCTGCTCGTTCGAGCCCAAGAGCGTATACGATTCTCGGCGCTAGGTGCCATGAGTCGAGGTGACGCTGCGCCCGACTCGAGCGCAGAAATGCGCGCCAGCTCGTCCAAAGTACCTTCGCTTATGCTGCTTGATGCGTCGCCATCGTCCAGCGGATCCACTGAGTATGAGCGTGCAGAAGCCGCACTGTCGTCTTCGAATGCTGCGTGATGCTCTGGCACCCTGCCAGTACCGATGGGTGGCTGCAAGAAAGTCCAAGGGGGATGAGAGCGATAGGGACCGCCAGCGTCCGACGCTGAAGCCAGCATCGGTGATGGCCGTCCTCCGGTAGAGCATCCGGATGTGCTGCGAGACTCAGCGCGTGCACCGCTGTCCAAAGCGATGTCGTTGATAGCAGCTAATGCATCGAAGTCCCCATACGGGGAGCGGCCCAGGCGTGATGGAGAGCCTGGCTCCGAGCGCAGTGGGAGCTGCGCACCTCTTTGCATGATCGAGGCCGGCATTGGCATCGGAACAGGATCAGGTTGACCACCTCTCGGCAGGCTCATAGACCTGTTCAGGCCTTGACCCTCCGAATTGGTCCTGTGCGACCTGGTACCCGCGCCCTCTGGAATCTCTGGAGCCAGCAGATGACCTGTTTCCGCTTGGCTGATAGGAGGCATTCGTTGCATTGAAGCTTCTGAGCCCAGCATTTGTGCTTCCCCCAGGAGGCCACTTGTATGCGAGATCGTGTTGTGTCGGTATGTCGGAGAGGTCCGCGCAGAGACGCGCGCAAAGTTACGAGGCTCATAGCTGCTTGGGCCCGTGCCATCTTCGCTACGTGCGGAGGAGATGTGCGAAGTCGTTTGCTCTGTGCCGCTGCTTTTGCTAGGAGGTCCGTAGCGCCACGTCCCTCGTCCCGGTCTCTGTAATCTCTGCTGGCTCAAACCGCCACTTTGACTCAGCGGAGCGAGCATGGCAGCCGTGGGTCGGGCCATCGCTCCACGCTGACTCTGACCTTGACCAAGACCACGCGCCATTTCTTCGAATGCAAAGCTTCCACCGAATGCGCCTGCTATGGGCGCATCGTGTCGCCTCTGAGCTTGGTACAGCTCTCGCATGGTTCTCGCATCCACCCCGGTCGGCATCGCGCTGCCATGCGCGTAGTAGCTACCTTGCCGAGAGCGGTAGGGCAGGTCGGGCGCCCGTGAAATGATATCTTCTCGTTCTTCGCATAGCTCGGCTAGCGCGACCGAAACTCGGCCTTGCTTGCTAGTCAGAATCCTGGTGGCACGCATAAACTCGCCTCGAATCTTACGAGAGAAACGGGAAGTGAGCGTAGGCAAGGGGGTGCCAAAGCAAGGCGAAGTGAGCATAGGCAAGGAGGTGCGAAAGCAGGGGCACGACTCACGGTGTATAAGCCATCTTTCGTGACTGTGCGCGATACATTGTAGCCCAATTGAAAGGGATCCTCAATACAAAGCTGGCG